TTAAAATTTAGATTAGAAAAAAATAGAAAAAATTTATACTACAAACTGAAACTTCTTTTTCATCCCCTTAAATATTTATTGAATTTAATATTTATGTGATTAAGTTTTCCTAGTGTATTGCTACTCTTCAGGATTTGTTAGGGCAATTTCATAGAATTATGAGCTCTTGGGGCTGATGGATCATAAGCTTCCATTTGATTCTTGAATTGCTTCTAAACTCTTCTGGATAAATGATCTTTTATATTTAAATATCTAATTCACTTTATCAAGTCTAGGAACACTTATTCTGCTATTCCACCCACTGGTTTCTTTTTGACCCAATTATTAATACCATTATCATTGTATCTCACAAAGTAATATCCCATGTCCTACCCCAAACCAAGAGAGTGGCTATTCCTCTGGTTCCCAAACTGTATCCAAATTCACAGGGATAACTAGGATATATTTAAAATTTCATGGGAAACAGTGATATCTATTGAACAAAACTTGACATCGTTCACAGTTGTAGTATTATCTTGGTATGGTTCAGTTTTTATGTTAGATTCCTATAATTCTTTCATTTGGGTCATATTTTTATTAAGCCATGTTTTTAGTGATTAATAAAAACCATGAAATCCATAGGGAATAGAAAATGAAGGTGTTGGTGTATAATGGGATTCTATGATTGGGGAAACTGTTCATCATCCAACTTGCTTTGCTTGGAATTCTAACTTACCCTGAATAGTGAATGTGATAATGATACCCAGTGTAAGCTTTTATATAGATTCCCTAGAAGAAAGGCAGTGACAGAACTTTGTGAAGTTAAAAACATTAGACAAACACAAGTCTTTAACATCTTGGTTAGTGTGTTACTATAATTTTTTACTCGTCAAGCCATAGAATTGAAAGTTTATTTAGTTGAATTGATTTCCTTAGTAAGCTTTCCTTATCATGCAGTTTGCCTAGGAGCATCTCGGCAGTATGGGATTTGGCATTCATCTTCATTCATTTCCTTGCCTGTTCTTGTATGACAGTGCTGATGAGTAGCAGAATGACCATAAGGCTAATATCAAATAGTAATTATGCTTATTACTTCACATCTGCATGTAATTTAAGTTTTACAATATATTATTATTTGAAAGATTCACTATGTAGATAGATTTTTAATATTTCAGTGTTCATATTTTATCAAATAGAGTAGCAATCTTAGTAAAATATTTCACTGTTTTAAGAATCATGCAGCTGTAGTAAGTACACAAAGGAAACAGGATGTATGAACATTCTATGAAGTTAAAGATTAGAATTTGAAGCTTAATATAAACAAGAAGAAACTAAAAGCTAGGTCATAGATTATCCTAGAAAGTGTCAAAAAAATGTTTTAAAGACAGTGTGATTCATCTTTGTCATACAAATGAGAAAACTTGAAGCCCAGAGACATGGAACAAGAAATCTCACGATAAACTGTCCTCATCCCAGAATGTTTTCTTGTTCTCACTTGTCTGTGACAACCTATTTCCTGTCTGAAACAGAGAGAAAACAGCTGGCTATTGATCTCAACACTGCACACAAACCATTAGTGAAGGGCTTAGGCTCAGCATGTTATTGTCACATATTGAGGAAAGGGCCAGGCTGTTTGTCATTTGTATAAGGATCCTACTACTGAATGACCAAGAAGCCACCTCAGAACCAGCTAGAACTCCCCTCCCCAAGAAGAACAATGAGCCATTCAGAGAATGTATTTGTTCACGTATAACAGATGTCTAGGAATAGAATTTTAGGCATACAGGCTTTTGTGTGGCTGGATCTAGGGGTTCAAGGTTGCTATTATGACTTAGTATCTTTCTCTTGGCTCAGCCTTCCTTTTGGTTGGCTTCATTCTCAGATAAGCTCTTTCCCAGGACTTTACAGGGAAACACAGAACTACTGGTTCTGATGAGCAGTAGGGAAGAAAGGTTATGTTAGAGTAGACTATTTTATCTGGAGTTCTTCAAAACTTAAACTGGCTCCAATAACATTTTGTTTATAAATGATAATGGAAGCAGCATATGCTTTTGTGACCCATAAACTGCTGTATATCTCAGAGGCATCAGTATTTCAAGTGGTCATAACTTTTGTACAAATTCTGTGCAAATCCACAATTACCTATAGAAGTGCAAGATGTGGAAAAAGCCTCAAGCTTGAAAATAATGGGAAAGTTATGGCTAACTCCTAACAAGATAAAATTTTAGCAATAAGAAATCACAAAAGTAGTCCAGGGCCAGTGGTTTACTGGGTTTGAGTACACTGCAAAGCAGATAGAATCTACATGGCTAAGGGAGGAGAAGTCAGAGCTCTCAAATGTTGGGTGGAGCACAGGCATGAAACACAACAGTGTGAGAGCAGAGCACACACTCAAGAGAACATGGTCTGAGCGCCAAAGCCCTCTGTTCGGGAAGTGATGTAAAGAATGGCCACAGTAAGGAAGGGCTGAAAGGTAGCAGTCAGCAAGTTTGGAAGTTCCTGATAAAACATAATAATTATCTGGTCATTTTGTGTTTTGCCGCTTTTAGTCATGTTCATTAATTTATTTCTCTTCTCTCTACTTGGAAATTGCTTCTTTCAGATTTCTCCAAGTCTTACTTGCTTACCACCTTCCTAGATGGGTATTCTTCTGTGTGGGAATTCTGCTGGTGCTGAGTGTATCTATTCCAGATTTGCCTTCCAAGGCTGTACTTGAAAATCACTGGGGCTCAATCCTATTGATCCCCTCAATCTCTTTAAAAACCCCACTGCCTGGTACACCATAATGGTGATCAAGTCTTAAGAATTAGTGTCAGCATACACTGAGTGTCCAGTGCTCCTTCAGTCTGGTAAATAACCCTTCCCACATACACAGTTACCCAGACAAATGGTCCTTGGTTTCACTGAGGAAGATCTGCATTATAAATTTCTGGCTGTGTATCAAGCAGGCATGGCCTCCTATTTCTTGATTCAAAAGGAAAGTTCTGGGTTTATGAATGTACTCAAATCTAGGAACTCATTGAGGTGCTCTGATTTTCTGTTTTATTCAAGTTAATTTTTTGTTCACTTAAGCCAGAACTTTTCTGCTTAGATAGATGAAGAAACCAAAACCACACTAGGCTGCCCTGTTCAGTTCCAGGAATACAGTTTTCTGGCCAAGTTGCCAATGCTAAAAGATTTCTGCTGGTCAGTTCATTCTGATTACAACTTTGGTTGTGTCCATTATTCTAACAACACTCACATTTCTTTAGATAGTAAGTGCTTCCGCTTGGTCCCTGCCACACAGAGATTTCATCTTCTTGATGGGTTCAGGGAACACAACTGATGGCAGCAGATCTTGCATGAACTTCGGGCCTAAAACACAAAGCCAGGACCTTCAGGAGGAGTTTCCATAGGACATACACAAAGGATGGGCACACAGGTCTTACATAGTCAGTTACTTCTAGCATTCCAGTCTTTCAGAGTCTTTGAATTTATACCATGGAACCTCATTTTAGTGTAGACCACTTGTGGAGGTTAGGGTAAAGTGTCAACCTAACTGACTTTGAGACCTTCCTGGGGACTGAGGGAGCACACTTTTGAGTAGGTCATGTTGGCATACTCTGGATACTATATATGGTCCTTGTCCCCTTCCTTTCTGGCACTGTTTCCCTTGTGCTGCTTCCTGTTTGCCATGAACTAAGCATATTTGTTCTGCCATACCCCTCTGCCATGTTTCTGCCTTAGACTCAACTGCCCATAGACTGAATCTCCAGAAACGATGAGCCAAATTAAAATTTTTCTACTTTAAGTCATGAGTGTCAGGTATTGTGTCTGTGATAGAAAGGCTGATACACCAATAGATTTCAGCTCACTGAACTCAGCATCTCTGCCCTTTATCCACTGAAAAATTTGCTTCATTTATGCTTTTGTACTCTTGCAACTAGAATGTAAGCTCTTTTAGGACAGAGATTTGGTTTTGTTGACTCTGTAATGTCTCAGATGTCTGGCATAGTGCCTGCTATAGATTATCAGGATGGTCATTGTGTGATTTTTGAAGACTGTCTGGCTCACTTACTGTATCTGTTCATTCCTTGAATATACTGAGCATGGTGCTAGTAATGGCAAGTAGTAGAGCCATAGAAGGTAAAAGTAAATGAGTTGTCCATAAACAGAGAAGTGGCCAGGATTGACACCTTGAAGACAGAGGGGTAGAGGGGTGAGAGGTGAAACTTTTCAGCTAGATAGTGACCACACTGTGTAGTGTGGTAGACATCATGAGAGAAGCTTGTCTGGTATTGGCAATTGTGAGAAATCCTTGGAGCAATTTAAGCCAGGAGTGACAGCACTTTATTTTATTTCTAAAATTGTTTGGAGAATAGGTTGAGCAAATCAAGCATAGAAGCAAGGAGATTAATTAAAAGGCATATTTTTGGTTCAATGTTAGCTTATCATTGGGCAGGGTGGCACTGGTAGCTCCGTTCATCTGCTATTGTCCTTGGTTCTATGGTAAAGTCTGGTGTTGTAGCCTTACTGTGAGGGTGCAGCTGCCATGGCGACTGCAGCTGCAATACAAACCTCTCACTCCTGTTCCAAAGCCACACAGATGGAGCCCAGTGAATGGGAAGCTGAGTTTCATGAGGGCAGTATGCCTGGGGAGGGCTTTTCTGGCATGCTGTGATGTTTCACTCAGCAAACTTTTGTACTGGTTTTATTAATCAAGTTGCTTTTATATGTAAAAATTTCAGAATTAGAGTTATACTTTGATATGTTAATACAAATAATATAAATGCAATTTATAGATAATTCTAAGTCAGAGCAATTTTAAATTTTCA